CTGCCAGGAGTTGCCCTTGACGGAACTCTAACCGCAGAAGGCAACCCTCGGAGGGGGGCCGGTTACCGCTTTGGCGATGCGAGAATCAGTGAGTGTTCTGCGATGACGTAAAGCCATTGGGACACGACAAGCCAAGCACGTATGTGCCAAAGCTGAGACAGTCCTCCACCTTCAGCACAACCGGCAACGCCTGGGTGAAGCGTCGGGTGGTGTCCTGATGCGACATCCGCCGGTTCTCCTGCCCAGTATCCTCAAGAGCAGCGCCCTGACTGTAGACATGAAAGTGCAGAAAATCCACAACACGCTCGAGCGACAGCTCGCCGAGGGACGTCTGCGCGGGAGCAGGCAGAGGCAGGTTGACCGACTTCTCGTCTTCATAGCATCTAAGCCTGACCTCCTGAAAGATCCAGGAGCGCAGCTCCGCAACACAATGTGGCAGGGAGGCTGCCGTGACGGTGCGGATAGCCCCAAGAAGACGCGAGGGCAAGGAGTCCATGGCGACAAGCTGCTTGATCGACTCCACAGTGACGCGGTGCGGGAAGAGTGCAGCCATAACCTTTCCAACCTCGCTATCTACAAGACCCCGACTACGGTAGAAGTGAAGGGAGGCCCACTCCAGTTCCTTCTCCAGGCTGCGCATAGGGAGGAAGGCACGTGCGGCGGTGACATCCACCTGGGCCGGCAGTGTCGGGCCAGTACGCAGGAGCAAGTGGGAGTAGTTGTGGCACTGAGGCCCAAAAAGCTCCCCCGGCACATTGACCAACCAATGCATCCCTCCTGCACAAATACCTGGGGCGGCCCGAGCAAATTCAGTGGGCACCCAAGGGCACAAGAAGTCTTCGCTGGCATGGATGATGCGTAGCCGACAGGGGAGGCGCAGGAGTTCCTCAAAAAGCCAATCCGGCATGCCAACGGCCCCAATGTCCACGGCTGCTGGCAGGGCAGCATCGACCGTCGCTCCACCGGAGGCGGCGGGTAAGCCCACGGGTGGGAAGTGGCTGCTGCCCCATAGTTTGCGAAGGAGCACTCCCACCAGGCTCGCTGTGTAGCTGCCTGCCGAGAAGCCACGGACGGTAGGCCGCGCTGGGCCGACACTTGAAAAGGCAATGCGCAGGGCCGCCAGACACGCGGAATGCGGATCCTGCAAGTGGGAGCTGCGCCGTGCTCTCTGAAGCTGCGTGACGATGGTTCTGGCTTCCGGGCTGGACGCGGTAAACTTGACGTCCAACATAGCGTGCGCTAGCTGGATAACCGGCATGGGGGAAAGCAAAAGGCTGGTAACTGCAAGTTGCAACCTGTTTTAGCCATTAGGATCTTTTTGAACAGTTCTTCATTGTCTTCTTGTTTACGTTCACTTCTTACTCAGACTGAGTGCTTCTGCTGTGGTCGACAAGGTTCACCTACGCCAAAAAATGCTTTTAAGCAGTCAAGTTTCTGGCAAGCTAAAAGAAAGAAAAGAAGCGCAAGTAAAGGCACTGTCGACTTTGCTTCCGTTCGCTGTTGCCTCAAAGCCTTTTGGTTGCGTGGTGTAGAACTGTCTAAACTTCAAGGTTCAAAGGACCGTCAAAAAAGACTTTAAAGGGCTTGAAGCTTCGAAAATGCCCTGGGGGCTTCTGAAGGCTTAAAGGGCTTCAAGCCAAGAAACCAAGAGGGACGTCTTTGAAGGGAGCACAATTGGGGACTCGCAACTCTGCCGCGGAGGTTGTCCCACTCCTTCTGTCGAAGCTTGCACACCTGGTGACGCTGCCACGTCCCAGGCCCCAGGAACGACGTACTGCAGAGCTCTTAGCAGTTACTCCACTTTTTGGCGCGCAGGCGCGGCACAGGCGCCCCGCCATGGTGGGCCGTATCGGGACTTGGCCTGATGGGTGCCTCGGGCTTCAGCGTTGTAGCCCCTGAGCACTTTCCGGGACCGGGGCGCGACGAGTCCTCCCTTTCCGCCGCACGGCGCGGTGGAGAATTTGGGCCCTCCTGCCGGCAACTGAGTTGGAGCGGGTGGCGGAGGTGTCCGCCCCATCTTTCGTGGGGGAGCAAATGATGACCCTGGAAGTCTCCGACCACGAGCTAGCAGCCTACTTCTACCGAGCCGTTAAGGGATTCAACATGGCTCATGCGGATGAGGACGAGAGTCCGGGGGGCAGCCCCTCGATGTCAGCCGAAGTGCGCATTGAGTGCTCTGGCGCCAGTACATTTCGTGCTTCTGCCCGCAACGACGCTTGGCAGCTCATGTGTTCCACACAGTGCTACGGCCCCACGGGGTGTCTTGCGGAGACATTCTCCAAGCGATCTGCGACGGCTTCGGCGCGGCTCAGTGCCGCGGGTCGCTATACTTAGCCAGCAGGGATTGTTTAACCTTCTGAAGATTGTACCACTTAGTTGGCCTTCTCCAAAGCGGCAACCAGCTGCGCAGAAGTATGGGCATTCTTAAGTAAAACAGGGCAGAAAATAGAAGAGCTACGCGCACCAGCTCCAATCCAAAGTGCCAAAATGGAGAATTCCAGTTCTCCAACATGTGAGAAGAAACCAGCGGCTGCAACAGAGAGGCTGTGCACAGGCAGATCCATGGATGGGCATTGCAAGGGCCAATGGGGGATTGCACAGCGGTCCAGCCCAGCTGACCACATTGTCACATGGGCCTTGCAAGGGCACAACAAGAGCGCATTGCATCAAGTGCGTTTAATCAAGGTCCAGCTGTTTGTCGGACATGGCTTCTCCGTGCAAATCGCAGAAGTTGATTGGATGGGTTACCACGGTGCAGCCTAATAAGCAGTTTGCCACCATGTGGTGTTGCAAGGGCCAAACAAGGTAGTATTGCAACCAAGCCTGGAAGCAGACTTTTTTTTACCACAGCTGCATTTTATATTTTTGTTTCTGTCGGCGAGGACGGTCTGGACTTCTGTTTAAAAGTATTCCGGTGCAGTACGAAGGCTACCAATGGGAACAGCTTATGGGTGTTTTAACATCGATCTTAAGTTTGTGGGAGGCGCATCTTGAGTCAGATCCAATACAAAGGTTGTCAAGGGGACTGCAATGTGCTTTCTATCGGGGGGCCAACCAGGCTGATGCAATTATGAGTTTACTCCTTTAAACTTCCCGAAGCAGAAAGGATGAACTCCTTATTCAGTTTTGCACAAATTTCATGTTTGTTTTAAACTGAAATTAGGAATCACGTTTGCAAGTTTTCCGGGCAGTGAGATGAAGTGTGGCTCCGGCGACTTTCCTCTCAAGTATGGGCACGGGGGAAAACTTGTAGAGCTAGGGATGGCCGCGCGCCGTCGTCAGCTGCCTCCGGTGCCACATCGGCGCCTTCTTCTCTTGTTTCTCGAGGAGGAAGAAGAGGTCCGGGGCTGGCGCAGTGAGATTCGTGCGTTGGACCTTGTCAATTTGCTGGGCGCTTCGCGTACGAATAGCTTGCTACTGCGTTTTCTGGGCCTAGACTTATCATACGAGCTTTTCTGCGTCAACAGAGCTGTCCGAGTCATTTTGCTGGCTACTTCTGATTTTGCGGCTGCCGACGCGCGTCGCCTTCGGCTTCGCTACTTCGGTCTCCGCTGATGCAGTCGGAAGCTGAGCCTTCCGATGCCGAAGATGGTCTGCCCTTGACATTCTTTTGGAAGGGGGTGGATGGAAGGTCTTCGGGGCAGCTTGGTGAAAATGCTTCGCAGTGCGATCTCCTTGAGGATGCCTCTCAGGCCGCAGGTGTGGCACACGAGGAGCATCTGGAGAGAAACTCAGTTGATGGGGCTTTCTCTGCGAACTTAGATGTTTTCGAGGAAGATGTTTGGTCCAGTGGGAATTCCGCTGCGGAACGAGACTGGTATAAAGTTGATTTGTCGGAAGATGGTGCTGCTCTGCCTTCAGAAGATTCAGTGGTCCTTCCGGCTGCAGCTCATGGTTTGGGCTTGTCATCTGCGGCTGCAGGTTCTTCTGCTGCTTCTGCTAGAAATCTGGACAGGTCGGTGGCGGCAGCTTTCCAAACTTTGGATGTTCCTCAAGTAAAGCAAGTCTGGGAGAATCCTTTCTGGGGAAGTATTTTTACTCCTCAGTCAGAGGATTCCTTCCGTGGGTTTTATGGAACTGGCCTCAAGAGGCCTCTGCAGCCTGGCGACCCAGAAGGCGTCTTGGAGCAACCTTCGAAGAACCCGCAGAGGGCGGGAAGGGTCGTCACTAGAATTTTCGAGATGGCAGTTGTCAACAGAGTGGTTGCGTCATGGAAGCAGCAGCGCGAAGAACAGCTTGTGGAAGCGGTCTGTGCTTGGGCTGTTTTCATTGGCAGATGGTCTGAAGGTGTGCAGGTACGGGATCAGCTTTGTGAACTTTCCACTGACGATGAAAGGAAGGCCATGACTTACGATGTGCTGGGTGCAAAGGCCCCGGGAACACTTCGCAAGAGGTTAAGGAGTCTCTTGAAGTATGAAGCTTTCCTTCGTCAGAAGAAGCTGGTTTTCCCTGCAACCGAGATTTCCCTTTACATGTTCCTCTGTCTTGAAAGGGATGGGGGTGCCAGCTTATCTTCGCGAAAGGCTACGTATGAAGCAGTGGTTTTCTGCAGATACGTCCTGGGGGTAGAGGAGCTGGACCTATGTGTCAAGAGCAGGCGTTGCCTTGGCAATGCGTGCCGTGGCGAGGTGAGGCCGAGGAACAGGGCTTCGCCGCTAACGGTAGATGAGCTCTCCCTTCTGCACGACCGGCTGGAGAACGCACAGGATCCGTGGGACCGCGTTTTCGCTGGATCAGTGTTGCTGTGTGTATATTCGCGGTCGAGATGGTCAGACCTGATGCATGCAGAGGGAATTATTTATGATTATGACAACCAGAAAAATCTTGCCTATGTGGAGTGCCCCGTGGCATACCATAAGAATATGAGGAGCCGAGTTATGCGGCATGATCTGCTTCCTATGGTGGCTCCTGGCCTGGGAGTTGCGGGTTCCAACTGGGCGAGGCTGTGGAAACTTGCTAGAGAGGAACTCAACATTCCAGATCCTCCGGAATTTCCTGTCATGCCGGCGCCGGACAAGTCTGGTGCGGCTAGTGTCAGGCCGCTTGACACTGAGGAGATGGGCAGGTGGCTGCGACATCTGCTTACGGGTTCGGGATCGAAGCAAGCTGACAGAAAGCTATCATCGCACAGCTGCAAGTGTACCATGTTGAGCTATGCGGCAAAGAGGGGAATCAGTATAGTCGACAGGCAGCTGCTGGGATATCACACGACGCCGCGCCGCATGGCCTTGACATACTCCCGTGATTCTGCAGCTCATCCTTTGATGATCTTGGAGCGGATGATCAAGGAGATAAGGGATCGAGTCTTTCTTCCGGATGAGACTCGTAGCGGGCGCTTGGTGGGCAAAGCCGCTGACTCGCAGCAGCGGCCAGAGGTAGTTGTGATAAAGGAGGAGCATGACCCGCCCTCTCCTAGCGAAGGGGCTGATGCTGATCATAACCTTGCAGGCGATGAAGAAGCCCTCGACGCTGAGGCCACCGGGCATATCACTACGGACTCTTCCTCCAGCGACTCTTGCCCGGAGGAGGCCGAGGGACCTTTCTCGAAGCTGGTAGTGAATGTTCCCGAGGGTCATGATGTGTGGAGGCACGAGAAGTCGAGAGTGGTGCATTTTGCCCCTTCCGGCTACACTAAGGTTTTTGCCTGCGGAAGGGCCATAGGAGCTCTGCATGTCAAGATACGGGCAGAGGACCTCCGGTGGGACTTCAGCAAGTGTAGGATCTGCAACAAGAACGTTTGAGCGAGGCGGCTAACAACCGAGTGTGAGCCTTGTTTGCGAGTCTTCAGTTGCATGTTTTCTGCTCGCATGTGCGCACTCAGTGGAGTAGGCATTGATTTGTTAGCTCGCGGAGGCCCGAGATGTGATCCATGGCAGATTGTGTACATGTGAACATGTTGAGAGATTTGCATGGAGTTTGAATGCGTTTTCTCACGTTGGTAGGTTTGTGCTGCTAGGGTGAGTAGGTTCCGAACATGTCGACCGTGATCGAAAGTGAGGCTGCCTTTAAGCAGCGATGTGCTGAAGCTTCGAAGGATGCGACTCTTCATACAAAGTTGGGGGCACAAGGCATCACGTGCTTCAAGACATTGGCTTTCGCGATAGGGTCGCCTCAGCAGCCGCCTACGGAGGCTCAGTTTGACGAATTCAGTGTGAAGGTGTACGGAGTGGTTCCTACCATGGGGCAAACCGCAATCCTGCGGCATCTGCACTTCGAGGCCACGACTCTAGTGGTTCAGACTTACAGGGACATGGTCACCCACGACCCGTCTGATCCATCGCACACCAGGAAGGTTCCGGTTCCTGAAAAACGGGCCAGGCTGGAATTCCAGAAGCGGCGACTAACGGGCCAGGCTGGAATTCCAGAAGCGGCGACTTTCAGCAGGAATGGAAATTTCTGGAGAGCTTGAGCCTTCGCATCAGCTTCTTGACATAGCCAATCAGCAATACGAGTCCGGAGTTCTTACTTGGATCCCTGCGTCGAAATGTGCCAAGAGGGAAGCTGAGGTCCTTGCATTGGGCAAGGATAAGAGCTCTTTGTTGCAGGTGGAACAGAACATCATAAAGATGGGCCCTGGTGACCAGGCTATCGCTTGTGATGTTTCGGATCCTCTGCGTTTCCAGTGGGCCATGATGCGGAGAGGCATAGCTTTTGACAACTGTCACCTGCTGTCCTGGGAAGTGCATCAGAGGTGGGTTCAGAAGATGCTGGATTGCCTTTCAGCAACCCCGCCACCGAGTTATAGCCCAGTCAGTTTGAATCAATGCATGCGTGCGGATAAGGAGCTTTTCCTGCTATTGGCCAGGGAGGCTGCGCCTCCTTTCAAGGTGGACTCGCTCGGGGTTTCGCCGCTTGATGCAAAATTTTCAGCAATGATGTATGATGTCCGTCTTCAGCAGTTCCTTTTGCCGCTTCCGAAGCAGACAGCTCCTGTCTTGGCAGTGCCTGTGGATGATGGGGCGGGGGATTCCTCCCAGCCCGTCCCGAAGGGGAAGGCCAAGGCAAAAGCAAAAGCGAAGGCAAAGGCGCGCATTCGTAGGTCTGTGCCAGAAGAGTTGAAGCAGTACTCTTGCAGGACAGAAGATGGAAATGTTTGTTGGGATTTCAACCTTGCCTCAGGCTGCTCTCTTAAGACTGAGAAGGGCAAGGGAGGGCTTAAGTGTGTCCGCGGCCTTCACATCTGTGCGAAGTGTCATAGGCCGGGGCATTCAGCAGTGTCGTGCAAAGCCAAGGCGCAAGAGTGACTATCCGAGTCATTGTCGCCAGGTGTGTTGCATGATTCTTCTCACAGTGAGGACTGCACGTCTGGTGCAGCAGCCACTGGAGAGCAGACTAGGCCGTTGGTGTACCGTGCTCTTGAGCAGGTGCGGGGACAGGCGGAAAGGTCAATCTTGAATGATAAGGCACTTCTTCAAGAGAAGTTGCAAGCGTTGAAGGCGAGGGCTCTTGCCTCGTTGAAGTCGCAGGTCGAGCCGAGGAAATCTCCTTGTGAAGGCCAGGCGCAAATTTCACCCAAGCCCAGCGGTCAGCTGGAAGTGCCAATGGCAGTGTCACCTGATACCCCTAATTTTGGTTCTAGTCCTCGCCCAAATAGGCCGCAGTTCACTGATCCTGAAGCTCTTGCGAAGTTTCTCTTGCGGCAGCCGTCGTGCTTGACAGCCAGTGCAGCTCTGGATCTTTTGGAGCTTTTGCCTCAGGAGGCGCAAAACCCTCCTAGGGCATTTCAGGGATCGGGTGGAGCTCGATTCAGCATGGGCGTCTATAGGCGCGGCGGTATTTTGGGTTTGCATAGGACTATGGACATGTTCCCGTTTTCTATTAAGGTTTTCAACCTGCTTGTGAGTCGGGTGTGCCCTGCATTCAGTTACTCTTCACTTGCAATCCATGAAAATCTTGCCTCAGGATTGCGCCGCGACGAGAACAATCGTGATGGCCCTACATTGTTGGTGCCTTTGACGGACTTTGAGAACGGTGAACTTTGGTTTCAGAAGGCTGGAGGTGATGTCTCTTCGTTGAATGACCCTTCTTTGGAGGGATGCCTGCTTGATGTGGCCGCCGGCCCCACCTTTTTCTCGAAGCCTAAAGAATTTCATGAGACGAGGCCGTGGAACGGTCGCAGAGTTGTCATGCTTGCATATTCGGTGCGTCAGTGCGAGGAGCTCCGGCCTGAATTACGAGCTGTGGCTGAGCGGCTCGGGTTTTCTGTGTCTCCTTTGGGTTTAGGCCCTTTGTGGTTTCTTGGGACCCTCGGTGCCTCTCCCCTGTTAGGCCGTCGCAGCATGATGCCAGCAGTGTCCAGCAGTCGGCGGCGGGCATGTACTTCGTTGAGTTGTGTGCTGGGACAGCTGTTCTTAGTAAGGCAGCTGCAAAGTTCGGGTTCCGGCCTTTTGCAGTTGATTCCTCTAGAAGGCGGGCTGGTGAACAGGTTGTCATCATGGATTTGAGTGATCCAGCCCAGGCTGAAGCAGTTGTCGATTTCTTGAGAGTTGAGTATCATCACGTCCTCTGTGTTTTCATCTCACCTCCGGTGGGCACCGCATCTTTTATGCTTGAACGGCATCAGCATGGTTCTGCTGAACTTAGTGCGAAGATGCCAAATGCTTTGAGGTCGGCGTTGCATCCGGATGGCTTGCCGACTTTGCGTGGTCGTGATAAACTCCAGGTTGAGCGTGCAAATCAACTTTTCGATCAGCTTGCAAACATTGCATGTGAGGCTTGTGATCTTGGAATCCTGACAGTCTTGGAGAGTCCCTCTAACAGCCGTTATTGGGACACCTCCTTCTGTGCTAAGGTGACAAATCATGTGCAGGGTCACTTAGTAAAATTCCATGCATGTGTGCATGGAGGTCACAGACCCAAGTTGATGCAGCTTTGGTCGTCACAGGACGTTTTTGGCATGCTTGAGGGTCGCTGTGACGGGTCGCACGAGCACAAACCTTGGCGACCTTTCATTTCGAAAAGGAAGAGAGTGAGCTTCATCACAGCAGATGAACCCGAATTTCCACCGCTCCTAGTGGATCGTATCATTGGTTGCATCTTCCATGCGCATCCCAGCTTGTCCTTCGGGCCACGTGTGCTTGCGCAGGCAATACAGGATCCTTCTGCGAATGTCGCCAGGATAAATCTGGGCACTCAGCCCAGGGGGAACTCCTTGCCTTCGCTTGTGTGGGAGTTTGACACTACGTTGGATTTTCTTGTGCCAGTGCAAAATGAGAAGCCGTTGGAAGCTGTGCTTTCTTCCCTTCCAAAGGGCTCCAGAATCTTCTCGAGACGTGTGTGTGAGTGGGGTTCGCTGAAGAGTCTCCTCGAAGGAGTTGGCAAGCTAAAAACAAACATCGTGGGCTTGGACCCTTTGCATCCGCCTGCTTTTGCAGAGCTTGTGCAAGTCGGTGTACCGTGCTCTGAAGATGTCTTTGTTGAGAGAGCTATGGCGGCAGGACACCCACGGTCCTTGGCAGTCCATGTTGAGCCTTTCGTCACAGTTAGTGCACGTGCTAACTTTGAGGCTCCCCCGTCAGAACTTGCGGCCTTCAGGATTGATGCAATGAAGTTTTGGATTGGTCGTGCAGGTGCCCTCAAGGAAAAGGAGCAGGAACTTCACCGAAATCTCCCTGATCATCTGCGGCCCATACTTAAAGGAAAGAAGCTCTTGCTTCTCCAAGAGATGATGAGGGCCGCAGGGTGTGAGGATGTTGACCTTGTTTCTGATATATGCAAAGGCTTCAAGTTGTCGGGCTGGCTTCCTGCGTCGGGTGAGTTTGTGCCGAGGTCCAGAAGGCCCAAATTCAGCGTCGAGACGTTGGGAGTTTTGTCGAAGGGCTTGAACAAAGCAACCTTGCAAAAGCTGTCCAGGAGGCAGGATTCCGAAATTGAAGAATCCACCTGGGTTGAAACCCAAAAGGAGATTGACGCAGGTTGGGTTTGGCTTGAAGAAGGGCCGGTTCCTGAGATGGTCTCGATTGCTATGCGCTTCGGAATCATGCAGAACAAATTGAGGGTCATCGATGACCTTTCTTGTTGCGGCCTAAACGCGACAGTGGGCTTGCTGGAAAAGTTTTGCTTACATACGATAGATAAGCTTGCGGCCATGATGGCTCATGCTTTTGATGTCGTGTCCGGTGTTAGTTACATTCTTTGAACACTTGCAGAAGATATGGCTTTATCGTTCGAAGAAAAACAACATGACAAAATGACTCAGAGAACTGAGTCCAATTTTGATTTGTTGTTTTAGGGCTTTCCTTTTACACTGCCTTTTTCATGAACCCTCATTCATACATGCTGTAAACAAGTTGAAGATTACATTCGTCCGTTGCAGCTTGACCTCTCGAAGGGGCAGGAAGCCCTGAATCGGGCGAGAGTTTTATTTGAAATACCCACCCTCTCCACCCTATTTGCTTTGTGGTACGTGCAGAGATTGCATCCGTGTTATGCTACTTCAGGAAGTTTTGGACCTCAGTTTGAGGACACTCAGGTATGCTTTGTGCATAAGACCTGGTTCGGGTCTTGGCTCTCTGCTTCGCAGTTCGCTCGGTCTTGCTCGTCTTCGACTGGCAGGCCGTTCACTAAGGTTCATTTGTGAGCCGTGCACGGCTTGAGAGTGGCTAGTTCTCCTTTCGGAGGGGACGAAAAGAGTCTTGTGTCTCACAGGACCGACAGTTCGAAGATTTCTGCCGTGTGCGGTACTTGCTACCCCACCGTGTGAAAATAGCGTCGAGCTTTAACTTCTTGCATGTGACATGTGTGAGTGCAAGCATTCATCCCTGAAGGTTCAAACACGATTGACATCAAAACACAAAGCACGATCTTTGAACGATAATGCCTGAGTGCTGCGGCCGAACTTTCGACCTTAAGGCAGCGTACAAGCAATTTGGTGTGTGTGCTGCTGACCGTGAAAGGCTACGCATTGCTGTCAACAGGCCAGGCCACCACAAGCCGTGCTTCCTGGGCGTAAACGCCCTCCCCTTTGGAGGGGTGGGGTCAGTCGCTGCTTTTCTAAGGATAAGTATCGCCTTGTGGAAGATCGGAATAGTCCTTTTCAGGCTATTCTGGTCTGCCTTTTTCGATGACTACAGCATAGTTTCTGCGAAGAGCCTGGAATCGAACGCCCAGTGGACTGTGGAAACTTTGTTTGACCTACTTGGTTTCCGCTTCGCCAGGGACGGGTCCAAAGCCGAACCCTTCGGAGTTACCTTCAACATGCTCGGCCTCTCTGTTGACCTGTCTTGTGTAAAGCAGCGGATCCTTCGTGTGGGTCATACTCAGAAGCGAAAAGAAGAGCTCAGCGAGTACATCCAAACCATCCTGCAGGAAGGAAAGATCGACTCGAAGGCAGCCGAACGCCTTAGGGGTCGTATGGTTTTCTTCGAGGGTTTCACTTTTGGAAGGGTGTCTAATCGGGCTCAGCGAGTAGTTGCAAAGTGCGTGGAAAAGTCTGCCCCTCAGAATCTTACTGAAGATTTGATGTGGGCGTTGACGTGGCTTCGTGAAAGAATAGCCATGAGCCAGCCTTTAGTTGTTGAGCGAAACCTCATCACAACGCTGATTGTTTTCACTGACGGGGCGTGCAATCCAGAGGAAGGCACGGGAGGTGTCGGAGGCGTCCTTGTGAATGCCTCTGGTACTCCGTGCGAGTTCTTTGGTGAGGCAGTTCCAAGCGATTTGATGCAGCAGCTTTTGAGCATCAGTGTGAATCCCATTTTCGAGCTTGAGTTGATTCCAGCACTGATCAGCCTTATCATTTGGGCCGATTGCTTGAAAGGAGCTCAAGTAGTGTTCTATCTTGACAATGATGGTGCTCGCCATTCTCTGATCCGAACCTTTGGCGGTAGCCCACTCGCCAACTCTGTGATTGAATCTTTCCTTCAGCTTGAAACCACGTTGCAGCTGAAGACGTGGTTCGCTCGCGTACCGACTGCTTGCAACATAGCAGACAATCCCTCACGGCTGGAATTTGAGCCTCTTTTAAAAAGAGGTGCTGCAAGGCGTGCTATTCCGTGGGACCAGGTCATGCCGTAGATGATCGGGGTGAAGGAAGACGGCACGGAGTGTAGCATCCCACGTGGAAAAATAGAGTTGCGCGAGCAAGGGACCTTCACACATTTATATGGATATATATTCCATAGAAAACATTTTGGATTCCGGTGTGCAAATTTTGGAATAAGAGTTTACTCCTTTAAACTTCCCGAAGCAGAAAGGATGAACTCCTTATTCAGTTTTGCACAAATTTCATGTTTGTTTTAAACTGAAATTAGGAATCACGTTTGCAAGTTTTCCGGGCAGTGAGATGAAGTGTGGCTCCGGCGACTTTCCTCTCAAGTATGGGCACGGGGGAAAACTTGTCCCGCCCTCCCGACCCAGATTGTTTGAGCCTACCCCTTAGCCGTCTGAAGGAAGACGGCACGGAGTGTAGCATCCCACGTGGAAAAATAGAGTTGCGCGAGCAAGGGACCTTCGCACATTTATATGGATATATATTCCATAGAAAACATTTTGGATTCCGGTGTGCAAATAAGGAATAAGTTATTGTTTTTCAAATCGACATGGGTAATAATATGGGATGTAGAATGGTGTTTAATCAGTCCATCAAGGCTCACAGTCACGCATAGGTATTGTTGGGGCTTTGATTTGAAACGACAGCAAAGGTTATTTTGGGGTTGCTATTTGGGCCCATATTTATCTTCGGGTATCCAGACAGAAACTTTAAATTTCTTTATCATCTTTCGGAGTGTCTGCGTGAAGCGTCGGAAAGAACTGAAAATGAAGCCGGCTGCCGTAACACATATATGTTTTCCCCTCGGATCTTCAACATTGGATCATACACCAGAAGCCCAAATGTAGGAGGATTGGCGGCGGTATCGCGGCACCTCGCGGTATTTAATGCTGGGGGGTGCATATATGTATATATATAGAAAAAGATATAGATATAGATATAGATATAGATATAGATATGAATATAGATATGAATATAGATGTAGATATAGATATAGATATAGACATAAACATAGACATAGATATAGATATAGATATCGATATAGATATAGATATAGATAAAGATATAGATAAAGATATAGATATATGGGTATATAGATATATAGATATATAGATATATAGATATATAGATATATAGATATATAGATATATCGATATATCGATATACAGATATATCGATATACAGATATATAGATATATAGATATATAGATATATAGATATATAGATATATAGATATATAGATATAAGATATATAGATCTATAGATATATAGATATATAGATATAGAGATATAGATATATTATATAGATAGATATAGATATATAGATATAGATATATAGATATTATAGATATATAGATATATAGATATATATATAGATATATAGATATATAGAGATATATATATAGATATATAGATATATAGATATATAGATATATAGATATATAGATATATAGATATATAGATATATAGGTATATAGATATATAGATATATAGATGTATGGATATATGGATATATAGATTTATAGATATATAGATAAATAGATATATGGATATATAGATATATAGATATATAGATATATAAATATATAGATATATAGATATATAGATATATAGATATATAGATATATAGATATATAGATATATAGATATATAGATATATAGATATATATAGATATATAGATACATAGATACATAGATACATAGATATATAGATATATAGATACATAGATATATAGATATATAGATATATAGATATATAGATATATAGATATATAGATATATAGATATATAGATATATAGATATATAAATATATAAATATATAGATACATGCATATACGTGCGAGAAAATCCACATACCTGTGTGTACATGCTTTTTCAGAGGTTTTGAACCATGGTTTTTGACGTACGTGTTGACGATTATCCACTTTCCTTTTCATATTCATATGTATTGTTTGTTAAATTGGAAAAGAAGAAAAATACAGAAAAAACAAATCAAAGGTCGGATGAGATTTTTTTGTTAGGTCCAAAAAAGCTTTGGGTTCCCCCAAATTCGCAAACTTTTTTTTCAACCCTCTTCCGTATATCAACGCGGCGTGCACGTGTTTTGGACGACATATATTCCAATATGTAGAGTACGGCTTCTTATCGTTCCGGTTCACTTATCCGGTCACGGATTGTTTGAGCCTTTCCATCCACATGTATGCATATATATATACATATACTTATGTATTCTGTTTGTTTGCGTGTTTGTGGCCGGAAAAGATGAGCAATAGACAGTTTCAGTCATGAAGGACAAGTCTTTATATGTTTTACTACGAAAGTGTTTTCATTTCCGCTGCATGCATGACTGTGTGCTACCCACGAGGCTTTCGGCTGAGGTACCGTGACATGTCTGTCAGTTAGATATAGCTGGTAAAAACGTGCTTTCCTCTTTTGGGGGTGATGTGCCATCGTGCGAGGCGAAGACGATCGGCGGCGCGGGACGCATCCGACAATTCGGAGTGTCATAGTCTTGAATTCGTCACCCATCTGTTTCGCCGAACTTCCAAGGAAACGAGAAACCGGCATGTTGTGTTGCCAATATTGGTTCGTAATTAATGCAGATCAAAACTTGGATTTCGTAGTCCACTCTCAGCATCATCAGCACCTTTCATCAAGAAGTACTGTCACTGAGGCGCAAATGAAGAATCGAAACCCAAATTCAGCAGCTCGCACCGATCTTTCGCCCTTTACTAAAAGTTTCCGCGAATGTGACGCATCTTTGTGACTCACACAAATTTTGGGGAGCTCTGAGCTTCAACAAACAGGTAACCAATTGCTGCCGGCGCCGGCGGAGCTGGGTCGGTCTGTCGCTTCTAAATTGTGACACATGTGTTGGCCAACGCAATGTTTTCAATACAACTTCAAAGTTCAATTTGCAGTTATGTTGCTAACCATGTTTGGAAAGCACCAAATCCAGAAGGTTTTCCCACAACAACTCCCGAATGTTGTTCCGAGTCCTCCAAGTTCCCTCCGAACTGAAACCGCAGGCCCTTAACCCGAAAACCCTGTAGGCGTGTTGCGAATTGCCACACCAAGCTCTGCTCAAAGTCCAGTGCCCGCCACTTGGCTCAGCGTTCGCCAAATTGCACAAGAACCCGTCTTGGACGTGCGTAGCTGCACAGGCCGGAGCGGCATTTGCATGTCGAAGTCTTGCAAAAAGCCCTCTGAAGACGAAGCCGCTGCTGCCCCACGTAGACCCTGAGCTGTAGGATCCTTGATTCTGGACGCCAGTTGCAATACGCCCCTCCCGCCCCGTCATGTGTTCCAAGAATATGTTCACAACGCATGTGAGCAGGTCTACAAGGAGGACGGGCGATGACTGGTCGAAGCGGCTGCTTCGCTCTGCACTGGACGACTTGGGAAGTCACAGACATGTTAAGCTTGTGCACGATTGTCGGCGCATGGTGCCGTTGCCAAGTTACCACAACTGCGGTTGCCGCCGCCGCTGCCACGACAACTCTGGCAGCAACTGTGGGATGGGAGGCAGCAACTTGCTTTTCCTCCTCCTTCATGCATCCTTGTTGGAGTGCACAGTGTACCACACTTCTTCGGTGAGACAGGCTTTCCTTGCTCCTTCGTCGGCTTCGTCTGTTGAGAAGCGCACTGGCACATCTCTGCGACGGAGGCCGGCTGCGACTGGTTTCGTTTGTTTCGTTCAGCTTCCTTTGGCCGGTTCTTGCCTTTGGCTGGAGGTCCATCGACACCCCGACCAACAATTCACATGGCCCGGATCCGGGTATGCACGATCGACATGCAGGGGGTTGCACGGGTTGTGGTGTAAAGGGCTTCTGTGCTGAAGTTCGCCACTGCATGTCTCCATCGGTAGCAGCAGAATCCCAGGCCGAACGTTGGCAGCACTGAGTGTGTGTGCTACAGCAGCAGCAGCGTGGAGCTCAGGAAAGCCCTCATGCCCAAAACTCTGTTGTCTCGGACACAACATGCGTCCCAATGGCACTTCGGAAACACAGGAATTCCGAAGAGTAGAGTTGGGAATTCAGAAACTCGGTTCCGATGACGGGTAGGACGTTTAGGGTTAAGGGCCTTGGGGGATTAGGTTGGGGTTTTGGGTGGTGTATTTCTGCGAGAGTTTTTTCCCAAGCACTTGTTGTTATCGAGGTTTTTGGAAGTTGCATTTTGTACGGTGTTCGCATTTTTATGAATTGATCCTCCTTGCTCTCGAGGTTGTATATCGGAGTTGCCAGCACATTGGAGGGACTGAACCTACGAAGACATCTGAGGCTCTCACCTCGTCCCGTCGAGGGCGAGCAGCCCGACAGGCTGAAGAGCGAGCCTTCGTCATGGCTAAGCCTTTGCACGCCATGCTTGAAGGCAGTAGTTTCCTCGGATAGCGAGAAGAAGCCTGTGTTTGCCTTAGTGCCTTAGCGTCTTGCATACGGTAGGAGCCGCAGGTCATCAATGATCTTCTCTTGCCTGAGGTCATGTCGCAGGCATTGCCGTTCATGACGGTGCCCGCGCATTTGAGGAACCTGCTTTGTGACGTGGCAAGAGAGGTGCAGCTCAGTACAGAAGCCTTGCAAGGAACAATCCCACAAATCCAAGCTTGGTCGGCGATTTGGGGTTTGACCCGCTCGGGCGACAGCCTTACAGCCAGCAGCTAGGAGTCGGTTGCACCTGCCTGCCAAACCTTTCGTGGGCCGTTTGTGCCCTCCACCAGGTTTGGTGCGGATGAGTACATCAACGAGGCCTTGTTCCTACCACGTTTGTGCACTGAGTTCGAGAGGCGATACCGCTGCTGAGGAGAGCTTTCAGACTCTTTCGTTGCATCACGGCTTAAGTCCATGACCTCTGGTTTTCTTCCGATCCCGTTTCCTGTTGTTTTTTCGGACTGCAGGCTTTGTTGACTGCTCGAGTTGTTGGCTTTGGGAAGCACCGACTCAGCTCTGAGTGTGGTTTTTTCAGGGCCATGCTTGGCTGGGCCAGTGAATTCCTGAACTCTGGAGGTGCTCGAGAACTTCGGGGTCGAGTTTGATGCGATGCGATGGTATCGGGAGGCTCCTGGCTCGATTCGCAGAAGTCCATGTCCTCGTCAAGATCACTGGCCTTGCGGCCGAGGCCGAGCTGATGCATGGACGTGTGTCTATGCTCGCCGTCTTCAAGGCCCCAAAGCACATGGCAATGTTGTCGGAAGGGATAAGCAAAGTGCCTTTTTTTGGTGAGTGGCATCTGAGAAGCATCGGGACGGCTCGCCGGAATTTCAGTGGCGTGCAAGGTCATCGTCGACTCATCCTTCCCAGGCCCTGGTGAAAAAAACATCGCTGATTGTAGCATCCTTTGGTGACTGCAATTTCTTTCTTTGCCAGGAGTCATGCCGTCAGAGCAGGCCTTCTCTGCTTCCACATGGGAGCTAGTTCAGATGATGGCCCTCCTGGAGGTGGGCGGTGACCTGTAGACCCGCAGCCAAGCCTCCTTTGTTTTGGTGATTTTTGGTGCTTCGTGACCGCAAGGCATTCCGTGGATACCGTCTCTTCATCAACCAGGACTTGCAGCGTGTAGCAGAATCACTAAGCCTTCGATGACTTGGAGAACGCAAAATCCCGAAGGATGCTATCGCCGGTGACCTGGGTCTCGGTGCCGGCCCGATGACGAACGGCTGGAAGGCATCCTCCGGTTCACCAGTTCTGCCGCAAGTCTACCTTTCTCAGATCGCTGGCTCGCTCTCTAATATACACTTCCGCACTCTCCTCCGATCGCCTGTCAGATGAGCTGGGACATGACTGTCGAAGAGTTGGCAGAGAAGCAGTACAAGGACCACTCAGGGAGACATGACCTCCAGTGTTGCAAGCATCTCCCTTCATCTCAGATGTAGGCTTCTGCTTTCAATTTCTTGGCCAGGAAGTGCAGAATGGCCGCCTTGCTATGTTGGCATTCGCAGGCCTCCAGAAACTCCTCGGACACGAAGAGACTTGGGACCTGGAGCATGTAAAGCGATGCGACATTACTGCGAAGGGGACGCTACGTGAATGGGAACTATTAAAGGCAGTGCTTCAGGCAGTGCTAGCAGGAGCAGTAGCGGGAGGAGCAGTAGTAGTAGCAGCAGCAGCAGGAGGAGCAGTAGCAGCAGCAGCAGCAGCAGTAGCAGCAGCAGTAGCAGCAGCAGTAGCAGTAGCAGTAGCAGTAGCAGTAGCAGTAGCAGTAGCAGTAGCAGTAGCAGTAGCAGTAGCAGTAGTAGTAGCAGTAGTAGTAGCAGTAGTAGTAGTAGGAGTAGTAGTAGTAGTAGTAGTAGTAGTAGCCAAGAGAGCTTCCAGTGATCCAGGTTTCTTTTGTTTCATACCACAACAAAGAATCGCTCAACTTTTCATCGCGACTTTGCGAACCTTTCCGGCAGGCCGCTGTCTTACCGCAGGACGCTTATGCACAGTTCCTGGGCGAGTCATCGCTTGGCCTTTGCCAAAAATCTGTGATAAATGTGTCGCTGTGTAGACTTCTGGCTGTGGCGGATACCAAAATTTGTTGGCCAGCCGTTCTGATAACATCAAGTCAAAATGACGGTACCTGTCGCCTTGACATGTTGCTTGCCACATTTGCAAACAAGCCGTTTCTGCGGAAAAAAAGCGCTTGGGAACCTTCCAAGGCAAACTTCATGTTGTAGAACCAATCCAGTTTGGTGCCCTCTTTCCATTGCCGACGCCAGCCGGGCCATCCAATGTCTATTCCCCGAGGCAAAATTGTCATGAGGTGTTCAATTTCTCTTGCTGTCTTCTGGAACCTGGCTTCAAGGAACCAGACATATCCAATATCTGCGCAACGTTGATCGGACCGATAGCGGCGCAGCAGTTCTGAGCACCTGCAAAACCGGTCTGTGATTTGAAGCGCTTATCCTTACACCAAAAACTATGTTTGTTTATTGCAGTTTCACAGCTAGTCTTCAAATACAAAAATATTAAACGAGCAAAATCAAACATACACTCATGCCTCCAGAACCATCGGTGCTGCACTGAGAAATGAACAATCTCATTTGGCTTCAGGTTTCGTCCCATATGTTGGTCAACATTACATCTGAACCCGTAGACGACGTGGACTTTCGTGGCACCAACCTGCTTCAGTTCTTTGAGAAGTGGAGCGTGGACGCCGTGATTTCCAGAATGAGAGAGTATGATGAACAGTGAGTTCTTGATGCAAGCTGATGATTGCGGTAGCACCAAAGCTTGTTCTTGTATATGCCGAGATCTGCAGCGCTCCAGTGTTTTTCTCTTTGACTCCGAGGTGGTATACCACCAAGAATTCCCGCATGTGCAGCAACACCACGGCATGATCAAGAAAATGCGGTGAAACCGATCACTGGAAGATTCTCGTCTATGTCATGACTAGGGCATTAAATCATATTCGCTTCGAAGGCTTCGAACCGTTTGCTGTGTATAGCTGGACTACGGTGTAATAGTAGGTCCTTAGTAGGTGTTGTAGTGATGGAATACGGTAGTATGTGTGCATAAAATTTGCAACTGAATCGGATTTGGTTATGCTTGTTTAAGACATTTCCAGTCATTTGAGTCGTTGTCGTTATTGTCGGGATCCTTGCCAACATCCTTACAACTTGAACCGCGAGCTACATCCGATGGCTTAGACCTTCAGACTCAAGGCTTTATTTAGGGTTTCAGACTCAAGGCTTTATGGGTTTAAACATGTATTGAACCTACATTGAGAGTATTCAATTTGTCGGCACACTCCCAAGCGTTCTCCGAACCTTTACCTAACGAAACCGACAGCCTGGACATTCCTGTTGCTTTAGAGCTCCACATGTAATATGCTTACACGGCGTGCGATCACAGGGTGTGGAGTTTGTTCGGGTTGGGGGAAGTACGACTGTTAGCTTAGAGTTTGCAGTTCAAACAGTATTACTTGGTCAGACTTCTACATTAGTCATCGCAGCGTGCGAACGTTCGTTCTGCACCAAAAGATATTGTAAGTCGAATAAGCCTTATAGACCCTAAACATTCCTAAACCCTGCACATCAAAATCCTAAAACCGCTATATAACCCTTAACCGAAAACCCCTAAATACCCTAAGAATTTGGCTCGAAAATTCGAGTTCAGCGAAAATACAACTATAGAATTAAACTATTGAAACCTGAGTTTAACCTGTAACCGGAAGAACCGCAGTTGCGATGTTGCTGACGAAGTAGAACAAGCAACCTTGGCTGGATCGAGCTTCGCATCCCTTCATTGAACATAGCAATTATAGAGAGTTCAGGAAGTACTTCGTCTCAATCGACCGCGCCACAAAACGCCAACTCTGAGAACTCAACAGCACATAGCGGAACAAATCGTGCGTGTACATTTCTGCTAGTATGAGCAGGAACCGCAGGGAAACATACAAGGAACAAATCGTACATATACAGTTCTGCTGGTATGAGCAAAAACCTAACGAAACATGCCAGGAACAAATCGTACATACACAGCGGTCCGGATACTGACGTCCAACTGGAAACAAACATAACGGAACAAATCGTACATATACTACTCTGCCATCCCTTCATTGAACATAGCAATTATAGAGAGTTCAGGAAGTACTTCGTCTCAATCGACCGCGCCACAAAACGCCAACTCTGAGAACTCAACAGCACATAGCGGAACAAATCGTGCGTGTACATTTCTGCTAGTATGAGCAGGAACCGCAGGGAAACATACAAGGAACAAATCGTACATATAAAGTTCTGCTGGTATGAGCAAAAACCTAACGAAACATGCCAGGAACAAATCGTACATACACAGCGGTCCGGATACTGACGTCCAACTGGAAACAAACATAGCGGAACAAATCGTACATATACTACTCTGCCAGTAACATAAGGGAACAAATCCTACATGTACCGTGGTTCCAGAGACGACCGAGCTTGCGCTGGAAATCATCAGTGGTCCCAGCGATAGACAGGACTAAACAAAACACATATCTGATATTTCATGGCACAGCACTCAAATCCCCCAGAGTACTGCGTTCGTGACGGGGCTGTACAGTTGTCACTTGTCGGTGTTCATAAAAGAACGGTGGAAGTCTTCGTCACTGCATTTCGAAGACATCTACTCCTACAGCTTGCATCTAGCCAACACACCGCACAGTTCGTGCGCGTTGCTTTAACACATGCAGGCCTGCGGCAAGCATGAAGTTACATCTCACGATATTGCCGCAGATACGACGGACATAATCGTAAAGTCTCTTTTGGTTGCGAGCCGTTTCCTCCAACCGACATTGCAGTGAAGAAAGATTACAGGCATCGCGATCATCATCATCTTCAACGACCCACAGAGGACGCAGAACTGCCAACTGTACAGGCATAGCCGCGTACTGATGCACATACACATTCGTATCAACAAGGTGGCCAAGAATCTCAGTCAGCAAACACGCTGGCAATGCCATGTACGGAACAGTCAGCCACAGTGCAAGCTTAAGCTCTTCTGATTCGTTCTCTGCCCATTCCTGCTCTAATATTCGAAGCCAACCAAACACTTCCTCTCGGCTCTGCTGCGCTCTGCGCAGAAGTGGTGCGAACAGTCGTCTCTCCCGTGTGCTGATAACTGCTGGCGTCTGGTTCCAAGCCGACTGGAACATGTCAAGATTGAGAACCTCGGGCACATATAGCATGGTGACCGGACGCACGGGATGTGGGTTCATGGCGATGCAAGCTAAGCCAAGCCACTACTCCGATCACAATGCGTTGCAAATGCTGCATGGCGGCTGTGATTTGGTACACACATGCAAGGCACACATCAGAGAAAAATCAGCAGGCTTCGGACATGTTCTCCTTCACAAATGGAGAAGATGCGTTCGTAGCTACAGTCACGACGCAGATTTACAGGAAGGATCGCGACACGACACACACAACCCAAACGCTGCGGGCCCATAGCCTGCGCAGCAAATGTAAAAGCAGCCCCAAAAACGAGTCACTGTACAAACTCTCGCAGAGCTGGTAGGTAGCACAGGCAAGCCAGCTGCATTTAGCTATGCCTGCGCATACACCTGTACATGTCTTTCAGCAGAACATAGTGGAGTAGTGCGCAGCCACTACGGAGCTGGCGGCTTTGAACTTGTCTACTTCGGCGTTCCAATGGTGAAACTGGAATTCGCGGACTCTGCTTTCAATCGTGGCCTCATCGGCTTTGGTACTTTTGGGTAAGCCGACAAGCTTCAGTTGCCGCCACACATTATCTATGAGTTGCGTACCCTTTTGAACCCACATGACATCCGTCTCGCTTTGCTTCAAGCTTCCAGAGTGTGCTTTTGCCTGGTCGCGAGGTAGCCGATGCTTCCATAAGGCTGCGTATACCGGTCTAGGCTTCTTATGCTTGACAGCATCTGTCACCACACCTGGAATCTTGACATACCGATAAGCTCTGGCACCATCAGAGTGCAACAAGATTTTGCGATTTTTCAAGTAGCGAGATCCAATACGTTTCCATTCCTCCTTCGAGATCGGGCCTGCTGGGCCCGTGGATCCCTTGCCTGAGCCTGTCCTCTTGACAGATGTGGTTCGAATCTTCATCTTCACAAGGACTAAGCTTCTGCGATTTCCTCTTTCCAGAAGCCCAAGATATTGGTGCCATGCTACCCTGTTGCCACAGCGCTTCCCTCGTAAAGTCACCTCGTCGACTTCACACTCTACCCAGCGCTGCAGATTTCCGAAAGGCTTACTGTCTTGCTGCTGCTCAACGAACCGAACCAAAGCCTGCCGCCACCGCTGCGACAATGACTGAACTGCCTTCGCACCGAGCCCTGTGAGAATGTGGACTTGGCCGGATCCCAGTCTTGCAGCGTTGCAGAACAATACTTGCACTTGCTGTCGCAATGGTATGTGGGCCTGTCCCCAAGCACACGTAAAAAACGGGTGCTGGGAATGTGGTAAGATGAACTTACGACACTTCCATCCCTTGCACCGCTGCACCCACCCTCGAGAGCTATGAGAGAAAAGTGTGCAAACTTTACCAGTCTTGCAGTGGGGGCATCGCACGAACTTCCACAGGATTCCAATAGAAATCAGATATGTGATAAGCTTCTTTTCCGACCACTGCACCAGGTCGGCGAAAGAAACACACCACTTTTGATGTCGCAGCTCTGCTTTGGTCATGTCGTCCAGCTGCTGTTCCACGGGGATGTAAGGCACGTCTTGACGCTTTGGCTTCTTTGTTGCCCTTGCTGGCTTGCGAAGTACCAGTCGTAAGGTTCCACGTTTCGGATTCGGGGATGAATGCACGCTGGGCTTCTTCATTGCGCTAGAGCGAGCTACCTTTGTACAATACAGCAAGGAATTGACTGCAATGCAGCAGGTCCAGCAACTACTACTTCTACAACGGCTTTTGCTGCGGATTCGAATATGAATGCCTGGCGCACACTACCTTTGCGACATGGCAAGACAAACAACTGCTCCATGCAACTTAGCAGACGTTGTAATACGTTTTCTGACCTGATGAGAACGTCAGAAGATTGGCGAGCAATATCGCGCATCAAATGGGCAGACCCCTGCACCTGGTCATACCCGTAAGTAGCCCCAAAAACGAGAAACTGTACAAACTCTCGCAGGGCTGACGCTGGCAAAGAAGCATCAAGCGGGCAAGATTCTGCATTCAGCCATGTGTCGCTTGTGCTTTTCATTCCTGCCATCCGATTTAACTAATATGAACCGCGAAAGCAAAGAGTCACTGTACAAGACTCTCCACACAGGATGACCAACATCAAGCATCAAACAGACTACCTTCAGAAGAAGGGAAAGCAATGCGACTCATCAATCAGGCAGACCACTGCATCCGGCCATACCCACATGCCGCTTGCTGTACCCAGAGGATCCTTCCTTCGCCATTACCTTTTCTTGCCTTTGCGTTTGTCGCAGTTGTTTTGCCAGAAAGCCTGAAGAGCAGAGCTGGAGATTTTTGCATGATCCAATAGGGCAATGTCGAATTCGTCGTTGTTGTCTTTGGGAAACGCCAGTATGAGGCAGTCCTTACTTTCATCATAGCTCCCCAGCGTTGTTGGCACTGCTCTGGCCAAGGATCGGAAATCACTCACTGCGAGCGGCTTCGCAAGCTTATCTTTTTGTCGGGCGACGTTGTAGATTGCTCTGCTCTTGACGATGTAAGGACCAGTGTCCGAATCTTTTTCAGCCTTCATGAGCAAGCGACGCAAAAGCTCGGTGTCAAGGATACCACTATGCTGAGCTTGTGGGTCCCACGATCGGTCTGGACTTGACTGTTGCAGTTGCGCTGACAGATGATCTTCATCTGACTGCTTCCTTTTGCGAGTAGCCTCCGCAGCAGCTGCCACCGATGTAAAAGCCGTCGTGCCAGAATGTCCGGACATAGTGGCAACAATACTCTCTAAAATCTCAAGCAAGCCAAAGGCACGCGACACAACATTTACAGTCACCAGCACTGGCTGTGTCTGGTCGGCGACAGGTGCTTCAGACTGTTGCCATGCGATGTCCCACAACGCCAGGCTTGCACTGAGCATTCCAAGTTTCCATGGACAGCAGCCCAGTTGGGCGGCTTGTCCGATATCTTCGTCTTGCCGGGCCTGTGCCACCAGAATATTGAAGTAGGCGCTGTAGGACTGAAAGGCTAGATTCGCGTCGTCCGTGAATCGAAGCTCGCGCTGGTCTAGCTCGAAAGCATCTGCTAAGCGGCTGGCAGCTGCTTCAAGGTTATACTCCTCCGGAATGTCAATATCCCGCACGGCCATGCTCCATTCTGCAACAATGTCATCGTCATTTCGCCTGCGAAACCGGATGCGTGTTGCCACCCCATCCGGCAACACATATTTCCATCCATCAGTATCGGGGAAGTAGCCATCTTCCGAAAACTCGATACCAATGCTATCTGAAGGATCATTGCCTGCAGGAAGAAAGAATTTCTGAGCTTCTTCAGGCGATGAGAGACATTTCAAGTTCAGCAGATCCCTCAAAACATCAGGTATTGGACAGAACATAACCTGCGCCCGGACACCACATGACTCGTATTCTGCGTGAGGCTGCACAGGAGCACCGCTCGTAAAGAACATACGCGCCTTGGTCATGCAACCGTGGTCTCCGCGGAGACCACGGAGCATTTCCACGCACACCCCCGGATGGAAGTTTCCGGATACAGCTGTGCAAACGCTAGGCGAGTCGATGCCTCCAAGAGACCCGTTCGTCTTCGTCTCATGCGACGATGTGCCTGTCTGCATGAGCCTGTTCGCCCATGACGAGTTCGGCGTTTGCCCAGAGGTGTCCGGGCCACCTGAAGACTTTTTGGACATGCTATTATCCAACACTCACTCACTCACGCGCGCAAGAGGATGTCCTGTGCTAACTAAGGCATGCAAAGGCCAAAAGCGTAGCTGCTATAGCCACGCGGCCGGAAACGAACACGGAAAAGGCAGACAGAAGGACTGTACAAGAGCGGCAAGTCATGCAGCCGGGTAGGCCCAGAAAGCTCGCAACGGAAGCGAGACCGGGGCCGAGCAGGCAGGACGAGCAATGACAGCACGCACAAGGGAGGCCAGGGAGGCAGAGCTTGCGACAAGAAAGACCCGTCCCCTCGGCGAAAGAAAGTCCAAGAAGAAGGCCGCCGGGAGCAGGCGGCGCAGCAGGGCAAGACCTTGATTGCTGGGGCGCCCCCAAAGCCAGAGAGCACCGCGGCGGAGGACAGTCTTGCAGATCATACGGAAGGACACCGTGGCAGCGGCCAACTCCAACAGAGACCACCTGCCAGCAGTGGCATCAGCAAGTGTGGCTGCTGCGCCCAAACCGCACGAAGAGGCGGAGCGCAGAGCACCAAAGCGACGGATGGCCCGGTTCTCCCAAGGTTCGAAGAACTCGAGCGCAGACCACATAGGCCAGAGCCGGTGCCAGGAGGAGGGAAGTTGAAAGACCCCTCCAAGGCCAAGAAGCCCAGGCCACCAGGGCGAGGGAAGAGCCCAGTCGTCACAGCCAGCAGCCCCTTCCACAATAGAGAACCATTGCAAAGGGTGTTGCACAGGAGAGGCCACATCAGCGGTGGACGAGCGGGAATGCTGGGAGACAGAGGGCGTGGGGGAAGAACCCCGTGCAGCGGAGATGTGGCAGGCCTGCCGTGCGCCAGAGTCGTCGTCGATAGGCGGCAAGGTAGATGGTCGATGCAGGTTGCCGGGTACAAGGTCCGAGAGTGCAGGGGAGCGTTGAACAGCGTCCCACTCTGCTTGCAGAGCAGCGTCATCGGCCGGCACCCCAAGGTCGGCCGCCCGCCTCTGCACCGGGGTGGCGTTGCAAGGCCCGCAGATGCGCTGCGGAGGGACTCCACGATGGCTGGCGCGACCTGAGCGTTTTGTGCCCGAACCGTACTGGTAGACAGGTCCGACAGTAACGCGCAGGCCATGCAGGCAGGAGCGCTGTGTTTGAAGGTGGTGCTTTAGGCGATCCGAGGATTGGAAGTCTCGCATGCACCAAAGACAAACCGAGCCAGCCATGTAAGCAGTCACATCAGAAAGGACACCGTGTTTCCGATGCATGTGAGCTCGTACCGCATGTAGGCTCGGGAAAACGCCTTGACAGACCGGGCAGCTGTGGGATTGTGGCGCACCAAGGATCTTCGTGGTGCGGCGGGTGGCTAGATCCGCCCAAAGCTGTGCGCAGGCAGCATATCGGTGCCCAAATTTGCTCAGAGCCTTGCACGCTCGTAGGAGAGCGCGTCCGTTCTGCTGAACGAACAGGACAGTGATGGAAGGGGGAGCGGCAGGGTCCCAGGAGTCTAAGGCGGCTCCAACGCGCAAACAAGCAAGGACGAGGGCCTGACACCAAGGGAGTGCTCGGTTCCACGCAGCATCAACAATGTCCCTGACAGCTGCAGGTGCCCTGCAGAATAGCTGCACACAGAGGCGGCACTGGCTAACAGTGGTCGCAAGGTCGGGAGGGGTGATATCAGCAAGAAGCCGAAGCAAAGGGGTGGTGAGCTTATGGCCAACTTGCCAGGATGACAGCAGAATCCGAGCTGTGCGTTCAAAGAGTCCAGCCAATGGTGCAGCGGCCCGGGCAGAGTCAGCGCGCGAGAAGGCCAGGGAGGAGGATGCGGAGGGGAGTACACGTCCAGTAATCCAGGCTCGTTTCAGCTCCCAAGGCAGACAATTGCTGCAAAGCAGGGTTCGAGCTAGAGACGCCGCCGCTGACCCTCGCTGTGCCGACAGCTCGCAGTCACGTCTGCCGGTGTCTCGAGGCAGCTGGGCGACACCCAAGTATTTGTACTCAGGGCAGAGTCGAATGCTGTCCTTTTCGGAAACTTCCAAAAGGGCGTCACCGCTGAGCAAGGCGCCGCGCGCTGCTCGTGCGCCTTCTCCCCTAATATCAACAAGGGCCTCGGTCTTGCCTGCCCCAAGGTTGACCCGGAACCGCAAGCAACGGAGAGTGTCAAGAATGACACCGGTGAGTTGGGGAAGCTGTGTTTGGAGCTCGGCAGGACTATCAAAGTCCGCAAGGACGGCTAGGTCGTCAGCCCAGCCAATCGGCTTGACACCTGGCTCGAGGCCGGTCTCGTCCCCGGCACTGGTGTGTGAGATGCCCATGGAACAAGCAGTGCGCTGGATGTGTTGCAGCCCGATAGCAAATAGGGCACCAAACAGGACGTCGGCGAGGCCGTCGCCGGGACGGGAACCTCTAGAGGCCAGGAAGATGTTGTCCGAACCGGAGAGCGACCAGTGGGACAGGGCAACACAATCCCGAAGGAGCGCGCTGACATCCTCAGCAACTCCCGGAGCGGAAAGGGCCCCCTGACGGTGAAGCTGGAGGACAAGTCCAGCAAGGTGATGGTGCTCCGGGACGTCAACCTCGTCAGGGAAGCCATCGAACAGCAGATCTCTGCTAGCCTCGTAGTAAGCGGCTTGGATGTCGACAAAGACAACAGCAACGCACCGCCCCGCAGAGACAGAGAGGTCCCAGGCGCATCGGAAAGCGGCCAATGCGAAACCAGTGTGGACGCCACGGCGCCCTCCTAGCTGCATGGGCTCATAACGAGACAGCACATGTCCGCCAACCGTGGTGCGGAGGTGTGAATGCCACAGCTTAGCAATGCCGTTAAGGAGGGCAATTGAGCGGTAATTGGCTGGCACTGATGCCGGGCCCTTTTTGTAGAGGGCGCAGACGATGGCCTTCTTGAAATCGAAGGGTTCGCGGCCCTGAAGCGCAATACGGGTGCAAAGTGGCCACAGCCACTGACCAGCAACCCAGTAAACCCAAAAGTCCAT